AATGAAAAGAAATCATTTCTCTTTGACCAAACTGCTTTATTAAAATGCAAATGCTATTATGAAATTAATGGATACTTTTATATGCAAATGATAGTATTCTTAGGCATAGCCATCTTATGGAATGGAAGATGTATATAACTAGGAAAGTATGGTTCTTAATTTTTTTACAGAAACTGAAGTTTCAACTTGCAATATCTAATATCTGTGTGGTAAAATACAATCAGGCTGAGAATGCCCTATGTTACTCTGAACCATCATTATTCACTTTATATATCAACTGTTTAGTCTATGGTAGCCCATCGTTTGGATGGTATTTGTGAAGCTATTTAGATGTGACTAAGAAGAACAATTTGCAGGAAGCAGATGACCATCCACACTGTGATTGGGCCTCATCCATCCAATTGATATCTTCATGGGTTAGAGTGAGTATCCCCAAGAAGCAGCAAAAGAAGCAATTCTACTTCCAGAGTGCAACTTAGAAGCTGCCTGAATTGCCTGCCTGCCAGCCTCCTCACAAACGTGGACTCCAGCTTGCAACATCAACTCTTACCTGCCGCTACCACCATCCCCTACAGATAGTGGACTTGCCAGCCCCCACATATCTGTGGCACATTCCTTAGAATAAATTTATTTTCCCCTTATATATCATATTGGTTATTTTCCTCCAGAGAATGCTGAAGAATGCAGTCACAAAATAAGAGAAAGAGAATAATTGTAAGGGAATTGTCAAAGTGAGCTTCTGGCAGTGGGGAATCTCAGCAGCAACTGCACAGTATTTCTGTGTCTGAAAGTTCAAAATTCAAAAGTGCACCCCAGACAAAATCAACATACTAAAGACTTGCTATTACCCTATTGCATAACTGAAAAATATTTCACTGGTTGGTGTGCTTATTGTATTTCATGTCGTTATGGGGCTTGGGCACTGAGTCACACTTAATTATTGATAGGTCTACCTTTTTCTCTAGAGGGTGGACCAGGTCTTTATCATCGTTGTATTCTGACTCAGATAATGATTATCAATTGCATAGGAATGTGGTTCTGATTTAAAACATAATATAAGGAAAAATTAAAATTTGCTATGTTTTTGGTCATATTTGCTAGGACATACTCTTTTCTTTATTAATAAAAGAATAACTGAATGTTTTTAAGGAAAATAAGCAAACCTTGTAGACTATAATATAAAGCCAGGTAACCAATTGAAGTCTTTAAAACTATACTCAAATGAAGTGAAATAAAGTCAGGAGTTGAGGTGATACTTCTAGAACATGTTAAGGTAAAAATTCACCCCTTTTAAGTGGAATTATTGGATAAATCAATTTGGAGCACTTTCTTACTCAGATGGTAGACTGTTTTCAATTTTCATTGCATCTGTAGACAGTTTCATGTCAACTTTGGTAATCCTATTTAAAGATGTAAACCAGTGGCAGACAGCATTCAAGATGGCTCTCAAGCATCCCTCCCACCTGGTGTTTGGAGAGTTCTTGTGAATTCTCCACCCTTTCAGTGTTGGCTGGAATAAGTGACTCACTTCCCATGAAACAGAATTAGAAAAAATGGAGGGAATGTTACTTTCAATATTAGGTTAGAGAAAGACTGTTTTTTTGTCTTGTTTACTTCCTTGCTGGTTCCAATGGAAATCGGTTGCCATGTTGTGAGCTGTTTTATAATGAGTCACATGACAAAGAACTGAAGAACGACTCTTTGCAGTGACTGGCAGAGAGCTGAGCATCCCATCCCACCGCCCTATGAAACTCAGTCCTCCCAACGACCAGGTGATTGAGCTAAAGGATCCTCCCCCAAGTGAGAGTTGAGGTGTCTGTAGTTCCAGTGGCCAGCTGGGCTGCAGCATGTTAAAGACTCAGATAAGCCTGGATTCCTGACCCCCCAAAACTGTGAGATTAAAAAATGTATGTTGTTATAAGGCTGTTTTGGGGTAACTTCTTCTCACCCTTCTACTCTCCTCTTCCAATTATTTTGTCCTTCATATTACTTATTGCCATTGACAGGCTATTTGTTTTACTTATTGATTGACACCCATCCCCCAACATCTACTAAAATCTAAGATTCCTGATGCAGGAATTTTTGTCTTTTTATTCTCATCATTATATCTTTAATGTCTAATCAATGCCCCGGCACAGAACAGTCAATCAATACATGTTTGTTGCTTATGAGAGCTATTCTATTATTCAATGACAAATCACCTGCTTTCCACTTTCAATAGTGTTAAGTTTCTAATGAAAAAGCTTCATTGTAATAAACAAACTCCCACTCAACTCTCAGATTATGAGACTTTTTTGGGCCTTAATAAATATTTGCTGAGAGGATCAATCAATGAATAAATTAGAGAAGAAAATATCTTGCTAAGCATGATACCAATCAAATCAGGAAAACGATCGGATGACCTCGTGTCTTAACAGGTCAGGAACTTGAGACAATGGTGACGGAAATGAGGGGATCAGAATTTCTAAAATTTCATTGATATTTGCAAGCAAATGTAAGCCATTGCCCCATTAAGAAAATAAACTTGTTTCCCTTTATTCAGACAAATGGTGCTGGCAGGAGAAATAAATAAGTTTTCCTTCATTCTGGAAGTATTTTGTCAAAGTCACATACTTGGGTATGTCTAGCAAAGAAGAGGCAAGTCAGTCAAGACCTTATACAAAGAATCAGGATGGATTTTCAAGGAGGAAGACCTTGGCTGTGGAGTGAGAACTGTCGGCAGTGATAAGAACCTAGCAGTTTACTGAAACCAAGATTTGTGGAGAAATATATGTTGTTGTTAGGCTGTCACTCACAGGTTTGTAAGGTCAGGGAACTGGTGACCCACCTGCCTGCCCAGCCACGGCCACTTCCACAGATCACACATGACCAATGTTCATGGAGTTTATTTCCCATTGTCCTTTATATCAACCCTAATAACTTTTATCAAGCCTCATGGTGTGCTATTAGAAAAGGGAGGGAACATGTGATAATAGGAAACACATGCCTTCTGGAATTCAGACCAAAAATGAGTTTGAACCTTGAACTTGAAGAAGTTCCATGCCTTTCCCAAGATGACACAGCCAGAAAGTAGAAAATCTAAGCTTCATCTATAAAATGAAGATAACCACTCCTTTCTAAGTTGAAGTAAAGCTCCAAAGAATATAGTGTTTAAACCTCCAGTACATAGTAAGTACTTACATGCTTGTTTTCCCTCCCTGTCATAGAAATATTTATCATCTAAGTGATGCCTGAAATAATGGAATTTTTCATCCAATCATCCTAAAATTGGGCTTTTTCTATAACAAGGAAGTTAACACAGAATATTTGAAGATAAATTCTTTGGGGACAAAAACTGAAGTTTGTTTAAATGATGGGTTTTACAAATAAAAGAGAAATGGTTCAACTAAATATATGGATTATTTTGGTACCAAATATTTAAATGTTTAAATTTTTATATGCATATACACCAAACATTTGGTACCAAATATTTAATTAGGCATATATCTATGTGTGTTATATGTGTATACTATTTGCATATCTATTATTTCCCACAAAAAAATACTTTTTGATAATTCCTAATTGTCAGCTAATTCATACCAGGTCTTAACTTGGACTCACCACTAACATAACTTTTTCTTGTTTCCTTGCAGGTCAAAATGTACTTAAGGCCATGCATTATAATAACATAGTGAATGAATGTTCCCACCCACTACAGCCTTTTCTTCCAGTTTCAAATATTGTCATGGTCTTGTTTTACATGAGACTGATGTCTTGGACTTTGGGCAATTCTCATGTTTAAAAAATTAACATTAACAAGAATGATAGCTATCACTTATTCTACTTTTCTCACTGCCTCTTTTCTCTTTTTTCGCTCCCTTGCTCCCTTCCTTCCTTTATATTGTTTTTATTTTTCTCTGCTGATTTGAATTGAATTAAACTATGGATGTTGCTCACTTCTAAATTTCTTTTTGGCTTAATTTCAGGGACTCCTTAAATAATGTTCTACAAAACAAATGTGGTTTAGAAATTCCATGTCACTTCATTGCTTAAAATTTGACATAAAAGGTGGTCAGGGGTAGCTTACATTTTCTAAGGTAAAATGCTGAAGATAATTTATTCTTTCTCCTTAAGGATCTGACCCTTGCCAAGCTGTAAGGATAATATTGAGCAGAAATATTCTAGTCCAAGTTCCCTGAAGACCTTTCAGTCCACATGACTACAGAACATAAAAGAATAATGAGCATGATTAAAATTCAACTGGTTTATAGAAAAGTTCTTGTTTGCCATCTACATCCACTGACAAGGCAAACAATTCAATTATATATATATGTGTGTCACTGACTTCATGGTATTCAGAGAGCAAGAGTTGAAAAGTCCCACCTTTTCCAAATAAATACTCAAGGACAAAAGTTCGAAGTTTTTAATGCATAAGAAGAAAAGCTACAGAGAGCTGAAGGTGAACTCAGCAGGAGAGAATTCTTTACTTCTAATTTTTGTAAAAATAAATCTAGAAAGTGGATGTTTTTATTTCCATTTCCCCTCATATCATTAAATTCAATTCTCAGAAAAAATTAACCTATTTTTCTTGTTTTGTCAGGAGTATCTGAATGCTTATTTCAATGCTTGAAGCCACTTATAAAATGTATACATATATACAGGATGTAATTCTTTGCTTTTGAAAGAAGTTATAGAATACTTCATATGGATTTACTATGTAACATGATAAAGTCACTTCTAGATATCTATAAATATGGTGGCACACAGAGCTCCTTATTAAACTCTATAAAGATCATTTCAGATTAATTTTGACCAAAGATTCAAAAGAACTCAAGGACTATCACACACTAGCTCCTACTTAAAGAATTTGCATAGACAATTAGATCATCTTTACCACATGTAATTCAACATTGATATTTACATTGCTGGACACAGAACAATGCAATTCTCTGAATATAGAGGGAAGTAAAGGGAAAACAGGCTGAAAGATTTTGTAGAATAATAAAGAGAGCAGTGCTTACCTTGATTCACTCTCCCCATAAAGGTCCTAAAAGCTGAGTGTTCGCAGCTGGGCAGTGGTACAAATGTCCTTTAGTTAATAATAAAAGAAAGAAAAGCTCCAGACACCAAGAAGCTGGGTTAACCATTGACACTGGTTTGTTCCTACAGTTCCACCCTGGGAATCTACCTAGGCAGCCCTTGGCATCTTATAAAGTAGGCACTAGCTGGTCAGCTGAGACGGAGGTTACCTCACCACCTATGTACCTCTAGAGGAGGGATGGTTGAAGGTCATTCAAGCATGTACTGACTATGTTTTCACTTAGTCAGGGATACAAAAGAGGAAGATTTCCTTGGCTAGAAATATGTTAATTGATGCCAGTAAGTGACTCAAATATTTTAAGCAGAGTTGTTGAGCACTAACTTATGGAGCAATGCAAAGTCTGAGCAATGCAAAGACCTTTCCACCTGAATTCTTTGCTTGCAACTTAGAAGGTAAGGGCTGAGATTGTATGAAAATGAAAATGGAGACAAAACAGCTAGACGTGGAGCCTCCCTGGTGGTGCAAGAGGTTAAGTCACAGCACTATGAAGCTATTGACAGCCACTGCAGCACAAGTTTGATCCCCAGCCAGGGAGCTGACCCACATGGCGCAGCAGACCTCTCCTGTCTCACCCACTGCTCCCTCAGCAGTGTATTTCAGTGGATCCACCTGTTCTGCTCCCCACTCTGTCTCTGGTGAATCCTCTCGCCCCACCCCCACCCCCACACCTGTGGCCTGCATCCCAGCTCTTATATGCATATATATATATATATATATATATATGTATGTATTTAAAGACAGCTAGAAGTAACTATACATCCATTCCTTCCTTTATTCAACAAATATTTAATGATTACGTATCTTGGGTGCCACAGTTCCAAAGAACTGGCATCTACAGTTGAACAAGCCCTGATAAAGGGGGAGAGAGATTGAGCCTGGGGGGTCTTCCCTCCTCCAACCCCAAGAACCAGAACTTAAGGCACAGATGATGACTAAACTCCATCCAGAATGAACCATTACTTCTCTGCCCCAGCAGCACATACTAAAGTGTTCAATGAAATTTGGAGGTGGTCATCTGGTCGAGTTGGTTGACCAGAAGTCAGAAAATGGTATAAGTGAAGAGGTGATTTTCCAAAAGCAGAGTTAAGACAAAGGTCCAGAAAATGTGAAAGGCAGTCACAGGAACTAAAGAAATAACAATCCCACGCTCTTCAGAACCTGGGGAGTCTGTACCCAGGAGAGTTTAAAAGGAGGGTTATTCTGGCAAGGAGTTTGTTTTTCTTTACTCCAAGGAGCACTGACAGCCAGGGAACCCAGGGGACAAAGGTAAGAGGGTTAATTCTCTAAGTCAAGGGTCCATTTCTAGCTTCTGACCATAGTTGCTATTTTGGGGTTGCTCATGGTCTTTCCATTTTACAAAGCATGAACAACTGAGGAAACAAGATTGAATTTTAAATGCTGATTCACCCATTTCCTCATCTGTTAGATGAGATAATAATAATAAACAAAGCCTACACCAGACAGATAATTAGTGTCCCAAACCTGTTAGCTATTGCTCAGGTTTTGACATACTGATAAGCACACTTGCTTTGCCACCTGTTAGGAACAGTAGCCAGCCTGACCCCTCTGAGGACCTATCTTGTCAATCACCTGTAAGTGTCAGGGAACCAGAGTTTGCCTTTTCTGCCAACAAATCTGAAGACAAGAGAAATGTCTACATTTCCACATTACTCAAGGCAGCTTTCACTATGGTTTATCCCTAATAAGTATTTTCTTTTGACTGCGTAATGAGCTTTATCACTTACTCTGCTTAATTTCTGACTTGTTTGAAAGCTGGGCTCCCTTTTTTAATGCCTCAACCCAAAGGACTTTTAAAAGAACACAAGAATACAACTCCCTCTGCACCGGAGGACAATTTCAGGAAAGGTGGCTTTGTTTGGGAGTATTTGGATTGATCTGAGAAGTGAAGCACCTAAACTCAACAGAAGAAAAGTCTATAGAGGAAGAAGGGCAGGATGGGAAGCAAGATGGGGAAGCTGGGTGTCTGCCCAACTACACCAAGTCAGATCATCCCCACGTGGCTTCATTCCTTTGTTTGAAGTAAATTCCCAGAACATCAGACACACCCATACTCACATGTAAGTAGAAAAACACTTTCTCAAGCCAAATACAAATGATATCTGGACTGGCTTTTCTGTGGCCTGTCTCTGCCTCTTAGGTCTACCTTCCCTGAGATTTAACTTCACTTAAGTTCATCTTTGGAACTGCAGAAACATAGAGAGAAGCTGTGGCAAGCTAAAGGGGAATGTTTGTTTCAAGAGTTGTCCTTTGACAAGATGATGGAAGAATTAATTGAATACAAAAATTTTAAGTGAATAATTCTCTTTTAAATAATTTTTTACTTTTTTGCTATGCCTTGATTTTAGGAAAGGTCTAGAAAGAATTCAACTCTCCCCAAGGTTATCTATTAAATAGAATTAAGGTATTACTTCTAAAGTCACGTCATTGATAAACTGTTTGTGGGCTTAGCCTGTCCTGTTTTTGTAGGTCTGAGAGCTAAGAATAGTTTTTACATTTTTGAAGAGTAGAGAAATAATTATAAGAGTATTCTGTGGCATTTGAAAATTATATGAAATTCAAATTTCAGTGCTCATAAATAAGGTTTTATGAGGACACAATCATTCATTTACACATTGTTGAGGGCCACTTTTACCACATAACAGTGGCCCTCAGAGTCTCAACAGAGCTCTTATGGTTCTCAAAACCTAAAACATTTAGGGTCTCTGCATTAACAGAAAAATGTTTGTCAATCCCTGAACTAGCTATGCAAGTCATTATTCACCAGAGTTAATGTTTCTCTTGTTTGATGAATGATTTTCTTCTCATGGTTAACTCCAAGTCAACTAAATTTCTATTTTAAGCCCTATCTTTCTACCATACAAGCCAGTAATCATGTTCCTTTATATTTATTCAAAAGAGTTCAAATTTTCTATCCTCTCAATAGCCAGCCCCTGGGTGTTCACAATCATCCACACTTAGATGCAAGCAGGAAATCCTTCAGGAGGTGAATGGATAAACCAGCTGTGGTCTATCCAGACTGTGGAATATTACTCAGCACTAAAAAGTAATGAGTTCTCAAGACATAAAGAGACATGGAAGAAACTTAAAGGCATACTGGTAAGTAAAAAAGCCTATCTGAAAAGGTTAAATAATATGATTCCGACTATATGACATTCTGGCAAAGTAAAAAGATCTGGGTTTGAAGAAGAGGGAGTGGAGGAACCCATTGAGTGAATATGATGTATCAGTATAAGTTCACCCTTGATAAAAAATATTCCATTTTGGAATATCTTGTAATGTGGGAGGCTGTGCATGTGTGGAGACTGGGGGATATATGGGAAATCTCTGTACCTTCCCTCAATTTTACTAAAAACTTAAAAAATGCTCTAAAATATGAGGTCTTTAAAAACACCTATTTGTCTTTCAAGAATCTTTTTACTCTTTCCTTGTCTACTCTAAGCATCATTGAATGGTTTCACTAAAAATAAAAATTTAAGAAGACAAAATTTTTAAAAGCACCATCCCTTTCAATCTACATATTCTGGTCTATTTGCATGCCTCATTTCCTTTATCAAAATTTAAGTCCTAGTGGGTAAAGATTGGCTGAACCTTATCCATGTTTTGAGTCTAACAATGTTTCTATCAGAAAAACTCTAACAAGGGGGAACTCCCTGGTGGTGCAAGGGGTTAAGTCACAGCACTATGAATCAATCAGCAGCCACTGCAGCCTATGTTCGATCCCCGGCCAGGGAGCTGACCCACATGGCACAGCAGACCTCTCCTGGCTCACCCGCTGCTCCCCTCAGCAGTGTATTTCAGTGGATCTGACTATTCTGCTCCCCACTCTATCTCTAGTGAATCCTCTCACCCCCACTGCACCTCTGGCCTGCATCCCAGCTTCTGTACGTATAAAGAAATAAAATAAAATAAATAGATAAATAAGAAAACTCTAACAAAGTAGATGCTGAGGATGAAAGGTTTTCTTTTTTTTTTTTTTTTTTTTTTCAATTTTTTTTTTTTTTTTATAGAGGCATGTTTTATTTATTTGTTTGTTTGTTTATACATGCACTGGGTACAGTCAGAAGCGCGGGAGGGTGCGAGAATTCACCAGAGCCAGAGCGGGGAGCAGAGCAGGCAGAAGGACCGAAGTACACTGCTGAGGGGAGCAGCGGGCGGCAGGAGAGGTCTGCGCACCATGCGGGACCCTCCTCCAGTGGCCGGGGAGCAGCCGGGGATCGAACCGGCGCTGCAGAGGCTGCGGGCAGCTTCGCAACCCAGCGCTCAACCGCTGCGCCACCGGGGAGGCCCAGGATGAAAGGTTTTCTTAAGCAAGCACACTATATTTGGAGGCCCTAACACATTGTTTTTATTCTCTTAGGCCTTTTCCTCAGTTCACTTCTTACTGAGCCTCCCTTTCATTCCTTGTTCAAATCCCACATCTCCCCAGGCCAAGGGCCTGCTGGTGGTCCAGTCCGCAGCCCAGCATCATAATAAGTGCACTGTTTGTGAGTTTTCTCTTTTCACCATCCCATCTCCCCACAGTTTTCCTTCATGGTGTTTCTGTCTGATGTGCTGTGTCCCACACCATCCAGAATTACTTGTTTTGAGGCAGAGGAAAAAGGAAAAATGAAAGTTAATTTGAATTTGCTTCCTCTAAGAGCTGTTCAGTCTTTTCCTAAGACTATGCATAATAATTCAGCCAATGATTTAACTAAAAATGGTGAAATGGACTCAAAACTCAAAAGGGCTTGTGACACTGAATCATGCTAATAGGTTAAAGGCTGCATCATCCTTCCCTGAGGACAAAGAAATGGGCAGAATAGCTGTTGAAGTTATACATGGGTGCTATAGATAACAGGAATGAGAATACAAAGATGGCAATAAAAAAAAATATTCACAGGCCTCCATTTCTCTTGGCAAGATTATTTCCAGTCTTTTCCTCTATTGTGTTAAGATAAAATTGAGGCTC